AAAAAAATGGGAAAAAAACATCGCCTCATCACTCGGCGTTTAGCTGATTGTGCGTGGGTCCTAGAACGAATAATAGCAATCTGCATTGTCTCGACACTCGACTAACGTGATACCGATCCCGATCGAGGGGCGGGAAAGCGAACTACGGCAGCAACGGGGCTTCCACTATGCCTTAAGCGCCGAGTTTGTGGGAGCGAGAAGGCCCCTTCTGCCAGAACTCAGTGACCTTTTTTTATCGTGAACCGTGACTTCAAGCTACAAAGCATGAAGCGCTTGAAGTTCCATTGGATTCACATTTCCCTTTCTATTAAACATTGGGAAGAAATTAAGAAATACAAGAAGTGCCTTTTACTATGAAAATTCAGAAGCTCCGCATTTCAACAGTCATAGCCTACATCAAGCTGCAAAACAAATTACCATAATTTACCTACTTTCTTTGTCAATGCAGTGCTACTGCTGGTAAGATTTCGTGCAACCGACCATGCGTTATTGACAGGAGTAGTGACAGATTGTAGCGAACTGGAACGTTTTTCCGCCTTAACGAAAATAGAACTGCAACAAAATCAGAACAGGGGCTATTTTTGGCTTCTCAACAACTCCAAGATAGGTTTACTAATATCTGGTCAAGAGATTTGACAAAAAACCGAATCCTTAAAAGCATTCACCTTGACAACTCGAAAGAGGGCACTCGTTCAACTCCATTAGCTACATTATCAGCGAGGGAGTTCCATAAGAGATGATCTATGAGTTTCACCATTCTTACAACGGAAAAATTTGGCTCCATTTATGCAGGATCGAAACTGGTGTAAAAGTTTGCTCAATGCGTGAAAATAGCACTATGGTGAGGTGCGAATACAGACAAAAATAGGAGCCCACATAGAATTCTGTCCTGCCCACAAGTACCTACCGATGGCTCTGCCATTGTGGGCAGCTGTTCTCATAGCAGGGCTTGCAGACCTGCTGATAGCTGTGTACTGCCCTTTTTTTGTAGAGCCCGCCGCTCTTCCGCGTAGCTAATGTGACACCCTTTGCCATCCACGGACTCTACCCTTCCACTCCTTTTAAGCTTCTGAGGAATCACAGCAAGTATTGAAGAAGAGATCCGCCACAAGGAATGGAAATGACCTCCCTCTGCTACTCGCAATCAGAAAGGCGGAATCTACCACATATCGCCCGCTGTGTAATATCATGCAGTGCAATCCCTTATAAGCAAAACTATAAATTAATAAGTTTTATAACAACCAACCAAACGGACACTGCGCTGGTTCATGGCGGCACTTCCTTTCTTCATCTTTTCTGAGGATCTACAAAAAAAAACTGTATTCATTATCTCAGAGTCGGAGTCATAGATCAGACAGAGTGTGAGTGTAGGTCTCTATAGTAGACCAATCCAGACTAGCCAGATCAGACTTTTTGTTCCAACTTTTCCCGATCGCTGCATCTCAGAAGTTCAAGCCAAACTTCCTCACCTTACTTCTGCACGATCTATGATCATATTTATAATCTAAATCCACTCAAAATGTAAATCTACACATATTCAAATACTTTCACGATTCTATGAAGAATTCGACCTTTTCATAACGATAAAGAAAGAACAATGAGCATTACGAACGGGCACATACTTTTTATGGGGGAAGCATAAGCAACCGAGTGCGTGGGAACTGTTGTAGAAGGGATTTGATCTTGTTAAAACCGTTTACGGGAAGATTTCAAATCTTTTTACGTTGTAAGTTTGATAGATTCCTCGCTCTATTCTGTGAATGACCTCGTTTCTAATTAAACAGACCAGCTTTCAACGTTCTACTTCCCTTTGTATCATTCACAAAAAAAGCTTGAGTTCAGCGAGCTACAGCGTTCAAGCGCTCAATAGAAGTATAGTATGTACACTCGAAAAAACATATAAAGAATCATACAAGCCCTACCTCTTCTGGGAATTGTTTTTCCTCTGCGATGATGATTTCGCCTTCAATCGCTTGGCATTGTGCCTGAAACTAAACTCATAATATCATAGGCATAAATGAGTTAAACGAGATCTCACCTCTTTTTCGTCTTTTTCGTTAGGTGCGATCTTTTTGCGGCGATCGGCGTTAATGACGATGGTTTAGCGTTAACTCTAGAGAATTCTCAGAATATCTTTCAAGAAAGTGGATTATAGAAACAAAGAGTTTTCTCATGACACTGATCAATTTGCAAATGTTCACCGGAATGCCAAGTTTCTAGTCTGATCGAGGCAAGTGCCCTCGAATCTCAAACTGAGCTTGCCCCGGGTTTACATTTGCAAGCAGACACAGCTACAGCCGCACAAGCAGACACATATCCCACTTCGGCAAAGATTAATTTTCATTAGTTTATCTGGCGAATTCGTTCCTATAATTGAATTCAAGCAAAATTCGGGTGTACATGCTGATGATGACTACGTACTTTATAGAACCCTTTTTTGTTGAGTATTTCACTCTTGATGCGCGATTTCCAGAAATGAAACCTAGGCTGAACTTTGGGCAAGCAACATCGTGGATACGGCGCATGGGAATGTTTCTATGATCTTTTATAAGACTGTAGATTGGGTGTGGCGCGATTCACGCGTCAATATAATGAGGTCATGACAAAACGCACTAAAACATCATGCCCACCATCATAACGGAAGAAATAAGAATTTATAAGTAGAAAAGTAGAGAAATGACCAACTGTGCACGTTTACAGAAGGATTGCGTTTACTAGGATCAAAAAATTTGAAGTTATTCTTATTTTGAACGTTTGACGAATATATTGTTGACCTATGAAATGAATCCTTAATCTCAAAGGGACTTCATTGCCATAGTAAAGAGATTTGCTCTAATTATGGTGAGGCCGTGCACTACTGCAAATTTATTTGGATTTCCATCCCAACAGTAAGGTACTGAGACGATGCTGCGTGCGCGAAGAGTTCTAGTGGGGTCACGCGTAAATCGCCCCCCCCCCCCCCCCTGTAGATTAGCGGTTGTGGACATGTGATGCAGCCCAACTGCTTTTTACTATAAACGGTACCATTTTTTGAGATATCTGTCCAATTTTGGCCTATTCGACCAAGTGAGTGAAACTTTGTAGATTTACTGACAAGGAATAGCTCCTCCACCCGAGCAAAAGCAAAAACATTCACCGTTTCTCTAGCTTGCACTTTGCCGGCTCCTCAGACAAGAGCTCCTCCTGTGCCTTTCGCTTCGAGAGAATGGAGTTTTTGCTAAAAATTAAACGTTGATTTGTAAAAGAAAAGGTCTCAACATCTGAATATATGAAAATTTTCAAAATTATCAAACTTCAGTGCCACTGTTTGGTAATTTTGGGCAAAAACTGTCAAAGCAATGTATTGTTTGTATAACAAATCACCACTTGGAAATCTAACCATTTCTTTATTGCTAACCTCGCTCCAGGTGCCCGAATGAGTGAAGTTGATGTGCTGCCATTCCTTAAGGAGCGCAATCAGACTGCTAACAGATTTATCAAATACATTACTATTAAGTAGAGACATTTCAGCATCTGCTCGTCAGCACTCAACTTTGTAACCGAGAATAACGGGGATAACCACTAATCCCTAAACTTGACTGGAACAGGATATGATTTCATGCTGTCTCAAGGGTAGCTACCACCCCAACATGCTACCATGAAACCTAGTTGAATGGTTATTACTATACAGAGATTGAACAAAAACTTTACCCATTTCCGCATTTCCTGTTTCTTCGAGGCAACTGAGTCTGGGGCAGTACAGTGATTACCCTACAAACTGCCAAAAGGTTTCATTCAAACTACAAGGTTGGATTACGCCATGTAAAAACGTATCACCCACCTGCTTCTCAGCACACGCGTTCTTGGTTCAGTAAGAGACAGATGATTTACGCCTTGCCCAGGAAGCACAGGCTTCGAACTGTAACTAAGTTCTGCACAGAATGAAAAACCTCAAAATTCTGCATGCTTACTTGAAAGAATCATCAATTTCTTGTCCAGTAATTCAGACGGAAACGAAACTAAATCTCAATCAAATGGTCTGTTTCTATTAACTTGCAAAGGGATTTTACAAATGTAGAACGCAAAAAAAAATGTTAAATGCCCTCCTTACTTTTCTTTATATCCTGATTCCTCTTGCAGTGGTATCGATATCGATGGTAATTTTATACAAATTAGCCTACAAATGAAATATCAACGTCAACACAGACTGAAGCATACATAAAGTTCTTGAAGATTAGTAACTCCTTACAATACCTCTTCACCAATTTAGTCGTTTCTGATCTTTCACGATGAGATTGTTTGCTCAGATTTTGCCCAGATGAGAGCGATGTGGAGCTGCAACAGTCTCCCAAATTTCTCGAAAGCTCATTAGATTTTGTTTCATTTATGATACTCAGTAATTTCTATTCAGTTAGTCCCCCATTTCTGATGCATAGTTTTCTGTGGGAATTGCGAGGAACTAAACAAAACAAAAGAAACACAACTCACATTTGCTGGCCATTCATGGCGTCCGCCTGGGCGACTGACACCCACCCACACCAGCACTGAAGGATCGGACTGACCGCTTTTTGGCATGTGTTCCCATGTCGTGATACGATCACATCCGATTAGACTTGTCATACGCGTTTGAACAGGATGAAAGACGACGGTAATCCCGGGTGCGCTTCGTCCCGCCCATACGTCGAAACTAGGTCACGTCCGCGCGTCAGCCCGCGATTTTTGAGAGACGTCGCAGGGGTCCGTTCTTCCCCCCGAACACTGTGTGAAAGATTGTAGCGCGCAATCTGGGAGTTAGGGAGCTCTTAACTGTTAACATTTGCTGGCCACTTTCTTCAATCCCAATGCGGTCTTGATCGTCGATAATATATGTATGAGGGATCATTCCAAACAATTAAGTCTGATATACACAATAACAAAAATGGGTGCTAAGTAGGTTGGGGAGGGGGTACGTTGCGCGGCACTGGGCTTGTCTGGCGCTCTCTCCACCGAGATAGTACTGGGCCTGGGGAGACGGATAGTAGGAACGGTTTTGCGTAATCGATTCGCCGCACGCGACTGTCGCGAACTTCGTTTCGCCGTTATTACGGCTCCAGCGTTCTTCATACAGCTCGATCGCTATGTGATTATTACTTTTGGCATGATTCTACTGTTGGTTCTTTTGTTCCTGTAGTTCTTACTTGCTGTTGCATTCTGCTACATTCGTTCGCGCGCGGCGTCTCCCTTGCCGCGCCACGACGATTTCGTTCCTACTGCACCACACACCTGGGCCTGAGTCTGGGAAGGAATAGTGACATTGTACTGATTTGTTACGTGATTTAGAACAAATTATAACTCCTGGCACATGTTGATATGCTTGCATATTATGAATACTCTTCTTCCGAGCCGATTTTAAGCTTAGTGAAAAGCCCCTCTCAGCCGTTCGCTCATGAAGTGTCTCAGTAAGTGAACCAGAGATTGAAGAAGAGTTGGTTATTTCTATTTATTCATTAGAATACACGCAGGTATTCATCTGAAATGTATTTTTGTGGCCCTACAAAAGGCAGTTGGGTTAGCTCCTTCAGCGAATGGGGTGATGGAGCGGGATAAGAATGGCGGAAAACCCGTGAACCTTTCTCCAGATTTAGGCCCAGTACTATCCCGCTGGAGAGAGTGCCAGACGAGCAGAGTGCCGCGCCGCCGCGTGGCCCCCCCCCCCCTCAACCCACTTGGCACCCAAAAAAGGAACATGAAAAACAACCAAAACCAGTTAAAAAAGAAAGACAGTCAACGAAATATACGGTCTGCTATCGATTGGTCGAGGGGCGGGCTGAGTACGGTAATTACAGCTCTAAGCCACGAGACAACTAAAAAAAGTTCGACACATGCTGCAAAGCGGATTGAGAAATCGGGGAAAGTTCCGCCACCCACGTCGTAGCTGTCGGTAGGGCATACGATTGGCGCTTGGTCCACGACAGTCAGCCTAGATAGAAGACAAATTGGACTAATGCAAATCATTTGCCCCACTGACACTTGTGGCACCGCAATGTCATCACGAGATCGCAGTGGGCTGCGCCGCACGCGAAGTGGGCGGGACAACCTAGACACGCGGAAGGGGCTTTCTTACGGTAATGCAGCGTGCTCAGCACGTTCACAGGTGGTAGGAGCTCAGACAGAAAGGAGTTTCAGTATTGGGACCCGACTTCCCCAGTGACTTTATGGTGTTATAAATGCAATGGGCGCACAACCTCACAAAATGTTTCAATTACAAGGCGGCTATCCGAGACTGTACTCCGGGCTTCCCATGGAAATCTTCCTAAGTGTACATGATATTGCTACTTCATTCCGTGCGGCCATTTGGTTTCAGTGAGGACTTTACTAAGAAGTTCACTGAAATTCTCAGCATGTCTTTCTCACTTTCTTACTCCCTTCCGCTCCTCCACCCCCTCCCCTCCCTCCTCTCGTCCCGTTTGACACTCGCAGTGTCATTATTCGACGTGTGGTTCACTCCAACTTTTTCTTCACGGAATGATTTTTAAATTTAGGTCCAACTTCACTGAGAAAAAGGGAAGAAGTCTATCTCAGCGAACTATCATACAATCAAAGTGATAGTAGCAACTAATAAACAAACAAGCGAAATAGAAGAAGTTGGGTTCCCTCGCTATGCTCAACTTTATTCGATTCAACAAAATTCTTCAGTATACTCACAAGGGAAGGATCCCAAGTCGAAGTGGCCATTTGAAATG